TATTGGATACAATAACGCCTTCTAGAATCAAGCTATGGTGATTGCATTGTCAATAAACAAGATAGGATTTATTTTATTGATGGGTCCATATCTAGACCTGAAGCTAATGATGATCTGCTTAATAGTTGGATCCGCAACAACAACTTTGTGAAGTCATGGATCCTTAATTCATTCTTGAAATAAATTTCGACTAGTGTCATTTATTCTGAGTTTGCACATGATATATGGATTGATCTTAAGGGAGGATACCAACATAGGAATGGCCCTTGCATATTTCAGTTGAGATGTGAATTGATGGATCTAACCCAAGGGCAATCATCTGCTAGTAAATATTTCATCAAATTGAAAACCATTTGGAAAGAACTTAGTAATTACAGACGTATGCACTCTTGTGAAAAATGTAATTGTGGAAGCATTTAGAAACTAGCTGAACACTATCACATGGACTATTTTATGTCATTTTTGATGAGATTAAATGACTCTTTTGCTTAAGTCAGAGGTCAATTATTGCTTATGGATCCCATTTTCCCCATGACTAAAGTGTTTGCTCATATTTCTCAAGAGGAGCACCAAATGAATGTCAACGTTAATGCTAGCACTGCTGACTCTATAGCCTTTTATGTGAAAAACGATGCCAAGAATCCTAACATAGGATCATCATACTACAAATATCAAAAGAAGAAGAGGTGTATCAATACTTATTGTGGTTATGCTGGTCATGTTGTGGATACGAGTTATAAACTTCATGGTTATTCTTCTGGCTATAAGACCAAATAGAAATAACGAAGGAAATTATGTTATTGCTAATCAGGTTTCTGAATCTATTTCAAATCAAACACATGGCAATATTGAAGACTTCATGCAAACTTTAAATCCTGCTCAATATCAACATCTGATGAATATGTTGAGCAGCCATCTGGCATTTGCAAAAATTGATGCAAGAATAGACAAAATTCTGGTCAAGTGTCAGGTACACGCCTTTCCATTTCCCTTAACCCATTACTCAATTCTCTTAGCCATTGGGTGGTGGATTCAAGGCCTATAAGTCATATTTGCTTCAACTAGTCAGCATTTCATACAATGAAATCAATACATAATGCTTATGTTACATTGCTAAATCATGAAATAATCCTTGTAAAATTCACTAGTACTGTGAAAATTGTCCCTACTTTGGTACTTGAGAGATTTGTTATTTGTACCACAATTCAAGTTCAATTTGATGTCCGTAAGCTCATTAACTAGAAATTCATACATAAATGTTAGATTTCTCACTAATTCATACATTATCCAGAACCTGCACATCTTGAGGATGATTGGAAAGTGTAAAAGAGTGGTTGATTTGTACATAATGAATGCTGATTCAGTACAAAATAGTTGCAATTCATGAAGAATGTTTGCATATATATTTCTCCTACAGGAAACAATGTGACTGCTCACACTTGGCATCAGAGGCTTGGCCATTTATCTTTTCAGAAGTTAGATGTGTTGAAAGATCAATTACATTTGATTTATAACATATAGAATATTCACCAATTCTCAC